AAGGGAAGGAGGTGGATCTTAGTGGGCAGGAAGCACCTACTCCCACGCCTATTGGGAGTACAACTGCTAGTTTTGTTGATGTTGTCCTAGGATCATCAGTCTAGGCTGGGAGTCCTAGTCAACCGATACAAAAGTTTGTTGGGACTATCTCACCAGATTCTGGGAGGGTAGCCTCTCAGACACCTTCAGCTGAAAAGGAGAAAGAACCTAACCCATGGATTATGGTTGGAAGTACTAAACAGAAGCCATCTACACCTCGTGTTGCACCAGTTCTTCCTCGTAAAGGAGGAAGGGCTGGAAAGAAGAGATGAAGATTCTCACTTGGAACATCCGGAGGTTTAATGACCCGGATAAGAATAAAGTTGTTAGACAGCTAGTTAATAGATATAATATTGATATACTAGTTATACTTGAGCCTAGAGTTAGACAAAATAAGGCAGAAGAATTGATAAGTAAGCGTTTTCCAGGTTGGGAGTATAAAGTGTCAAACAATTCTAGTGATTTGGGCAAGTTATGGTTACTTTGGAAGTCTGATATTCAGCTTATTGTTCTTCATAAGACGGATAAGTTCATTCATATGATGGTTGCTTCAGTTGTCTCGTTTTTCCTCTCAGTGGTTTATGCATCAAATGAGGAACAAGGTAGAAGGGTTCTTTACAGTGACTTGGAAGTTTTTAGAGCTGGCTCAGCTCCATGGGAAGTGCTGGGGGATTTTAATGCAATTGGTGATGTTAGTGTGGCTTCTAATTCGCCTCAATTCTCTAGTAGCATGTCTAATTTCAGGCAATGGCAATTTGATTGCGAGTTAGAGGAGCACAAGGCATCTGGCCCGTGGTTCACGTGGATAAACAAACAATTGGGAAATCCAATTGCTAGGAGGATGGACCGTGTGTTTGTCAATGTCAAGTTTCTTGAGGATTTAAAATCTAGTACTATTGATCTTTTGGATCCATCAGTGTTAGATCACTGTCCAATACTTCTAAATACTGATAGCTCTGTTAAATCTTTGCCAAAGCTCTTCAAGTTCTTCAAATTCTGGATCAAGCATCCTAGGTTTATGGATCTGGTAAAGGAGGCTTGGATGGTGCAAGTAGATGGGTCGCCTTTAGTTTGTGTTTGTAAGAAGCTGAAGATCCTCAAAGGGTTACTCAAGAAGTTGAATAAAGATGTCTACTCTGATTTTAGTGAAAGAGTTCGTTTAAAGGCGGCAGAATTGTTGGAAGCTCAGGCTGGGCCTTAAAGAACCCTTCTCCTGTAACTTTTTGAAGTGGAGCTTAGACTTGCTGGAGAGGCTAAAGAGTTAAGAGAGGATGAAGAGTCTTTCTTTCGACAGAAGTCTAGAGAAGTTTGGCTCAAAGAGGGTGACTCGAACACTCCTTATTTCCATAATTCAGTTAAAAGTCGACAGAAGAGGAACATGATCAGATCACTACTTGATGAGTCTGGCCTGAGGGTAACAGATACTGATGGGATGTCCAGGATTGCTGAGTGCTTCTATAGGAAGCTGTTGGGGGGACAGTATAAAGAAGTAGTTCTTCCAGAAGTTTCCCAGATCAAGAGAATTCTGATGAAAACATTACTGCCTGAACAGGGGGTGGAGCTTTGGTGTCCTATCACTGCTGAGGAAGTACGCTCTACTTTGTTTGGCTTCCATGGGGAGAACGCACCTGGCCCTGATGGTTTCCCAGCTTGCTTTTTCCGGGCAGCTTGGAGTATTATTGGAGAGGAGGTAACTAATGCCATTCTCTATTGTTTTCATGTGTCTAATATACCTGTGAGAATAAATTCCACTCTCCTTGCCCTAATTCCTAAGATCCAGAATCCTGAGGAAATGAAATTTTTTAGGCCAATATCCTGTTGCAACATACTATATAAATGTATGGCCAAAATCTTAGCTACTAGACTAAGCTCTGTCATGCCTAGCATTATAAGTGAATCCCAGACTGCTTTTGTTAAAGGAAGAGTCATTGGGGAGAATATTCTACTTGCACATGAACTAGTCCAAAAATATGGTAGAAAGAATATCTCTCCTAGGTCCTTAGTAAAGTTTGATCTGATGAAGACATTTGACTCAGTAGATTGGGGGTTCCTTTTCAATGTTTTACAAGCTATGGGGATCCCTGATAAATTCTTAAAGTGGCTGAGAATGTGTGTGACAACACCAAAGTTGAGTATTGGATTTAATGGTGGGTCAGTTGGATATTTTTCTGCTAAGCAGGGTTTGAGGTAGGGGGATCCCCTTTCACCCTATATGTTTGCAGTGGCTAGGAAATTTTCTCTTGTCTTATGAATGAGGCTGTTAAGCAGAATGAAATGTCTTTCCACCCTATGTGTAAGAGGCTGAAGCTAACTCATATAATGTTTGTTGATGATCTATTATTATTCCCTTATGGATCTAATTTTGGGATTCAATGTATTAAAAAAGTCTTGACGACTGAGTTTAGGAGAATGTCTGGTCTTCAATCGAACCCAGCAAAATGTGAGTTATATTGTGGTGGGATCAGTGAGCAATGGCAATAGTCAATGGCAAGTTATTCAGGGTATAAGTTGGGGGTTCTTCCTGTTCGTTACCTAGGCCTTCCCTTGTTGGCAGGTAAACTAACTATTACAGCTTGTGCTCCTCTGATTTAAAAAGTTACAAGAAGAATTACCAGTTGGAAGTCAAAGTCTTTGACATATGCTGGCAAATTTCAGTGGTTATGTCAGTGTTGTATAGTCTTACTCAGTTCTGGATGTCCATCTTTATCCTTCCAAAAGAAGTTATAAGAGCTATTGAGAAACTATGTAGTGACTTCCTGTGGGGGGGTGGGAGATGGTACTCGAAAAAAGGCAGTGGTTGCTTGGTCTAGGGTCACTTTTCCCAAAAGGAAGGTAGGCTGGGACTGAGAGATATGGCCTCTTGGAACTTTGCCTGTGTTACAAGGCATATTTGGGCTATCCTTTTGAAAGAAGGGTCTTTATGGGTGGCCTGGATATGGGAATACAGAATCAAGAGGACTGATTTTTGGACTTTAACTACCAAGGCAGGTTTTTGGCTTTGACTTAAACTGCTAAAGAGTAGGGACAAGTTGAGAAATTGGCTATCTGTGGAGGATGATGGAGTTCATTGGAAAGGGGATCTAACGGTAAAGTTCAAGATTAAGAAAGTTTGGGAGGAAATCAGACCTAAAAGAGCCCCTATTCAGTGGAGCTCTCTGGTTTGGAAGGGACCTTGTATTCCAAGAAACCAGTTCCTGGTGTGGCTTATTGTTAACGATTACATAGTGACAGGTGACAAAGCTCAAGGGTGGGGGCTTGCTGGCAGTCACTGCTATGTTTTCTGTTCTCTCACCCTGGAAACACGTTCTCATTTATTTGTTGAATGTAGATTATACAGGTAATTGTTTGCAACTCTGTTCCCTAAATATGCAGATCGTATTCCTGGGAACTAGTGGCGGGAGGAGCTTCAGTGGGCATCCTTGCATTTTCAAAAGAAGAATGTTGTTGCTCAGGTTGGGAGAGTTATTTGGCAGAGTTTGATTGCCACCACTTGGAGGGAAAGATGCAGAGTGAAATTTGGAGAAGGTGTGCATGATATCAATGAGCTAATCCGTCGGGTGAAGAGTAACTTGAGGTTGTTTCTGGAACCGTTGTGTTTGGACCAGTTTTTCTAGTTTTATACTTTGTATGAGTTAGTTTGTTCTACTTGTTAGGCAGTTTACATGTGATTACTTGTCTATAGGTTTCCTTTGCTCAATTGGCAGAGTATGTTGCCAACAAGTTTTGCTACTTTTTGATGAAATAGAAATCCCAACCAATTCATAAAAAAAAACTTTTAAAAACTTCCAAAACTACATTTTAACAAGTTTTTATCTAATATATAAATTAAAAAACCTTCTAAACATAATACTACTAAAATGGCTATCCAATATTATCAATAAAATAGATAAATTAGTAAAAATAATAAATAAATATAAAGAAGAATAATAAATATATAGAATATAATAATAAATATTTAAAATTAATATTAGAAGATCTATTTAAATCCTTAATCCAATTAGAAGTACCATTAAAAATAGTTCAAATAGAACCTAATAGATCATCAATACATTAAGACCAAAGAAGGATAAATGGAACACAATCAGAAAGAACTAAATATATTCCAGTAATTGAAGATACTTATAATGATGATAATTGATTCTTCATTTCCTATTCAAAAATTGGTTTGGTATCAGAGTCTTCAAAAGAGGATTCCAACAAACATAATTCATAGGATATATATTTGCTTCAGAGAATAATTCAATTATTAGTAAACATAATGATAATATAAAATACTTATAATAATAATTTATTCTAAATTATATATTCAAAAATTAATTTGGTATCAAGTCTTCAAAAGAGGATACCAACTAAATAATAAAAATTGATGTTTTTCATAAGTCAAAGTAATTTTTTACAATAAGAAAAGTAGAATGACCAATTAAGAAATTTAGAAAACGGAATATTCCAAGAATATTCTATTAACTTTAACGGAATGCATCAACATTAAACTTAAGTGGTACCGGATGCACAAATAATAGAGTTCAGTGGTACCAACGCCCTATTCAAACTTAAGTGGTATATCTGCCCAATTCTCAAACTTAAGTGATACCCGAGGTATTTTACCCGATCACTGTGATTACTAAATTGTGTTATGTTTAAATTTTAATCACTAGTAAAAATTAATATCAATTTTGGTCACTCGTTTTAGTAAAATAGGTCACATTTAGTCACTCCCCCGTTAGCTTCAGTCCAACTCCGGTCACTTGAATTACTTTTTTTATGAATGTCACTCGAATTACTGAAATATGTCACATTGTTCACTCTCCGTTAGCCTCCATCCAAGTCCGTTAATTGAGTTGGACGGAAACTAACGAGAGAGTAACTAAATGGGACATGTTTCAGTAGTTCGAGTGACCAAAATTAATTTTTTTCTAGTAACTAAACATGACATGAAATCTCTTACAAAATGTGGCATTTACCTGGAAAAAAATAAGTAAGCAATTGTGCAGCACCTAAAGGATACAGCTGCCTATCAAATAAACCAATGTCTGGTAAAGTGGTAATCAATCTAATTGCCCCTGTGATCGGTAAAATTGACACATTGCACTTTGGTCAGCAGACTCTCTGATGTAAAACACCCAACCAATGGAGTTCCCCAGTTCCCAGTTCCTCAATTGAAATTTCTTTATTGTGACAACTAAAAGAGAGTTCCCTATCTACAGCGTTACAAAAGCCTATACAGACCACAACCCTCAAGCATCCAACAGCCTAACAATGGGCACTGAAGAATAAATCCGAAATCAGGCGGCTTTACTAGGTGCGTCCACCTTGCTTTCATCCGTCGGCAAGTTAATCACATTCGCTCCATCCATTTCATTCCTCTGTTCTCCATCAGAAGATGTCGTCCCATTTTGGACAGCAGGGGTATCACCATTTTCCGTTGCAGCCTTCACTGAGTTTTTCGCTGGTTTTGGGAGCTCCCTGGAGGAAGCAGTCGCTAATAGGCGGCTTACCCCATCTAGTAAATTCTTGGCATCCATAACAAAAGCAGCCCCTCCTGGGTAACAGCGGCCAAAGCATGCAGCACAATGTGGAAGAGCGATCTGCAGACAAGGATTTTTCAAAGGATAATTCGAGCTGTAAAACCAAAAGGTAAAAAAGAGAGAGAGAGAAGAACAAGCATAGAAGAGTGTCTACCTCTATGAATGCTCTGCAGAGTGAGAGGAAAAGTGCAGACTCAGTTTCTCTGAGCATCCTAGTGGCGTTGTACCTTAACAGAGAGTCTGCAACAGCTTGCAATCCCTTGATTAATTCTACACCAAGCAGATGTTTCAGACTTAGTGGAGCACATGGGCGTAGCTCGTTCATTGCCGCGGATACACCTACAACCAATGAAAAACCAGGCCTTAAGGTCACAAGAACAGAAAACAGCTAGCAAAGCCCACAAGCAATATTCTTTATGACACACCACAAGGTCAAGAAGTCAATAATTCAGCTCTCCAATAAAAGATGACTCTTAGCATTGAGCAAATTTCAGATGGGAAAAGTTAAGAGGTCAAGAGTCAGGAGAAACTACTTCGTAGACACGTCCACAAGGAGTCCATGATATGGATCATTGAGGGGCCACATATTAGAGCCAGTAGCAATAAGCATGCAAACAATCCCCAGGGGAGAAAATGAATTGAAAAATGAAAATCTTCTAATGTACCATTAACAAACACTGCTAGAGGTGGATGCTCCATTAGATAAGGCGGTGGGGATATGTCATCTTGGGTCTCTTCACCAATATTACTAGCTGGAAAGCCAACTGCTGGCAGTGGCACCCAGCGATGTGAATCTAAAACCAACTGGTGTAAAGAAAAACATGAAGTTAGACAGCATGTTGGAAATAAAGTAAATACGCTGATAAATGTATGGCCTAGCTACTAAGCAAATCCCCACCTGAAAATTTTCAACTGCTGTACCCATGTTCTTTGAGAATAAATTGAGAACCGCCCTGCAAAAATATCGAGGTCATTTTGCATAAGGGAAATTTGGACAAAGCAATACGAGTTAATAGAAGAAATTGACTTACTGTTCAAATAGAGGTGGAAGCAAGCCTCGAAAATCCAGCCCTACACCACCCAGTCCCATTGCACAGTACTGTACACAGCACAAAAAATAGTCATAAACCATCATAACAATCCAAAGGGAAATAAAAGACAGCTCTGGAAATGCTCACCATGCACTGGTCCAGAATATTTGAAAGAGGTCCACCCTCAGTTATCTTTGGGAGCATTATTTTGAGAGTTTTAAGGTGTGAAGTGATCTGATGCATGACCCAACTAAAAAGAAGTCCACCGTCAGAGTTTTCTTCACTTCCTGATGTATCATCAGCAAATATTGCTCGGTATTGGTTTACAACATCAAAGAGATGCATTCTGTGGCAGTTTATCACTCCCTTCAAGAACTCATAAGCATTCCTTTGGTCCAGATCTTCAAGAATACCTGTAAGCCATGCCTCCCGACATCTCAGAAACTGAAATAGAATACATTTTATCAGGATTATCACATTCTGAAAACAAAAAAGGAATTAGAAAATGTAATGCAACAGATTACCTGCAGGCGCAATTCATACTCACAGAACACTCCTATTCGACGCAAGTAGCCAATAATGCGGAGGCACTCTGGCAGCTGCATAAAATAGACAAACAAACATGAACAAGAACTTAGATAAAATGATGACTGTTAAACCAACCAAACTTGCAGCCAATGTATTAGTACCTGAACATTAGAACAAAGTTTCTGGAGAAGCTGAGCCAGAAGAGACTGGGTTGTCTGTCTAACTTCACCAGCTAGAGCCTGGATGACAGGCAATCTTTGAGAATGAGGAAAAGTCAGATCACTCATCTTTTCCATAGTTCAATGTTAGAATTAAGTTTACATGTACTCACTTGGGATGGATTGTTGCAAGTTTGCCAACATATGCTTCTAAGTCAAGAGCTTCATCATAATTACCGTTCCTTACACACCTATAATATACGAAATGAATAAATTCGTAACCACATCACAAAAGACACAAGTAGGTGGGAAACACTACATCTTTCAATTCTCATTGTTTCTAGTTAACATGGAAATTCTAACCCATTCTGATCCTATATAAAATTTAAAACTCAGGGAAAAGAATGGACAACTTTACAACATTCACGAATAAACAACTTCATGCATCCAGTATATTGGTTTTCAGCAAGGCATAACAATTGGTAGTAACTTGGTAAGAATTAGTGGCTCAGCCTTCCGCATAAAGTTTGCCAAGTACATACGTGTCCATAAGTTGTGGAATTTCAAGCAAATCGAGCAATGTACTATGGTTTGAGAGCAATGTTTGGTTCATCTTTCGCTTCTCCAGGACCTCTTCTGCGGATTCAATGAACTCAGTGCAGCCAGATATTAATTCAGGGATTTCAGAAATCTGTCAAAAAGAGGAAATATCAAATGGCATTCTGATTAGTTCAGCAAACTTTAATATGAAATTACTGAGAAGAAAGGTATCGCATATCTCCTTCAGGAATATACCATATCACTCATTCACATTCATATTCCTTGCGTCAATTCATCAATCTTACCAGGACGATTAAAATAAACACATGTGATAGTTTCTGATGTGGCTAAGCAAATCAACTAAGGTAGCTGATACAGAAAGCTATATAATTGGGCAACAATGAATGACCTTTTAGCAGAGAAGGTAGTTTGATACAGAGCCCAAACCATGATACCATAGGATGACATGTTCATTGCAGCTACTGAAGATTAGGGAGTTTCTCTTACTCTAGCTTCCCCTTAACTATGCAGTGTAAATATATATTTCCAAAGACAACTAGCATCCAAGACATAATGATTTAGGCTAATACCAATAAATTCAATGTAATACATAAAACTAATAATTCACAGAAACAAGGACGTGACAAGGGAAAGGGCAATGCATGCTTCAAATAACCAACTTCATGTCTGCATTGTATGAGCAACCAGCAGCCCAAAAGAATCAACCAGCAGCTCAAAAGAATCAACCAGCATAAAATATGAAGAGGATAACTTTGATAGTAGTCTTTCTTACTAGTGATTCCAGAAGCTTATCCACATTGGACACTTCTTCTCTAATCGCATTTAAAGCATCAGTGGCGACAATGAAGGCGTGGTAGTTCCCCACCGCCACCTCCTGCATTTGCCTCTCTATTCGCTCAGCATCAACCCTAAGTAACTCAGGTTCCTTCCAATGCCATATCAGAAGCAAGTTAGACTAGTACTTAAGATTAAGATTCCCCCATAATTCGACCAAACAAAACAAAAATAGAGAAGTAGGGGAAAAACTATTCATGGAATTCGCTTACTTTGTGGAGACGATCCAGAGTAAAGGATAGAAGTTCAGATACGTAAGGCTGCTGAGAGGCGGAAGCAAGTGGAAGAAGTGTCGCCATAACGGATGCTTCATCCCCATTTTCAGCGCCCATTCCTCTGCTTAGTAAGTTTGAAGCCAGATGGAGTCAAAATCTATAACTGAAACAGGGGAGCTGGATCTCCAGAGAAAGGATTGCATACTTCAGCTAAGTAAGGTTTACAGTGCAACTAACATACAAGTTAACTTATTAGACTTTTCCGTCAACCACGGATGTCTAGAGACGTTCTGGTAACTAAGATGATGAATATCGCCATGGGAAGAAAGACCAGTCTGCGATCAGTCAGAATTAACATAATAGCTAAGGAGTATTGTAGAAAAGCTTATTCCAGAACCTACATTCAACTCCCCTGCAAACATACTCAATTACACGTTACTGCTCACCCATTCGAATCTCGTTTCCTTCTATTATCACCAGTTCATAGGAGAGGGAGCCAGAATCAAACTTACCTAATGAATGTGGCAACAGATCGAAGAATTCGACAGAGTCTGGAAACAAACGTCAGATACTTCGGATGAGCAGATAGGCCGCGGCGCCAGCGATTGCGGATTGAGCGGCGGCGGCCGGAGGGTCGACGAAAGGATCGCGGATACGATTCCTTCAGATCTGGAGGGAAGATGTGAATCGACGGCGGCGGGCTCGGCGACAGTAACGTGGTGGATCTCCGATGGAAGGTTTTGGGACATGGAAATGATTGGCGAAATGAGTCAGGGAGAATTGTCCGCAGCTTGGCAATTGAAAAATGAGGGGGTTTTCACCAAAGAATAAAGATGGTAGGGTGAGTTGAGAATTTGGTTGGATTTTATTTTCCCTTGCATGTCCACCGCCTGTTGAGGAATTGCCCAACTAAAATCGTGTAGGAGTGATTTGGATCAAGGATTTTATAAAGATGGATTTGAGGTCTAAATTTCTGATTAAAAGTTTTGGAGATTTTGGATATAGAATTTAGGCCAATTATGTGTTTGGAAATGTATTAAAAATGTAATCCAATTTAACCCAATTACATAGTTACCCCTCTCTTCTTCTTCCTTCACTCTTCCTCTTCTCATATTCTCCACCTATCTCCAACAAGAGCTCGACTACATCTTTCTCTTTGCAAAACTTGCTCAATCTTTTCCTCTCACACATACATCGCTTTTCACTTTTTTTATTCTCTCAGATGAGATCTCATTGTCAGGGGAGGTCGCCTCTCTCAAACGTCGTCTTCTCTCACCATGATGCCATCCTCCCTCATTGTTTCCAAAACTCATATATGATGTTTTATACTGCAGTAACTTATATGAAATAGTACTGATTTGTTTATATTGGTTTTCCATTGTGGTAACTAGTACTACTTTGGGTGTAATGATATTGTTTTTTTGTACACATAGTGTTTTTTACTCTAGCAATGATTTTTATGAACTAGTAGCTTCTTTTATCCATCTAATATTGTTTTTATGCATATAGTAGTGGTAGCATGGAAACTCTCATTCTCATTTTCAATACACATAATGTTAAGAAGTGTTAAATGCGGAAAAGTGGGAAGAGGGTCTTAAATTTAAGACCCTCATATCCACTTAGCAAATTTCTCACGAGGGATGCGCGCGGGAGCAGTTTGTGTGCCGCATTCATGGAGGGGAAGCTTCCTCGCACACGGGTGCGAGCCTTAACATGTCATCACACATGACCTTTGTCCTTTTATTTTTTTGTTTGTTTAATTAAAATTATTTGTTAAAGAATTAATTAAATTTCATTCGTCGCAAAAGTTATTGAAATAAAAACTTTGATTTTATCTGTTTATTAATTAAATATTATTCGAAGTCTATATAGCATTTTTTTTACTCAGGGTATGTCGTACCCTTGATTTTACCCAAGATACGATAGAACCGTCCCCATATATATATAACCTCTCTCTTTACTAGGGATGACAATTTCGACCTGACCCGTTTTACCCGACCTGTTTACCCTGTTTTGGGACGAGTCCAACCCGCCCCGTAGGCGGGCGGGCGGGCATGGGTACTCTCATCGACCCGACCTGCCCTGACCCGTCCCATTTTTGACCCGTTCTTGCCTAAATCACATGTAATCTTAGTCAAATTACTTAAGATTTTCCTTTTACTACATCATATTTTAGCTATAATAAAGTTATACATTAGTGAACACCTCAATTTATCCAATAATTTAGCTAATTTACCATATTACGGTTTGTTTCTTTGGTGTTATAATGAAAATAACAGATATTTTTAATGTTTTCCACATAAATTACATACATATTGGGTCGTCCTGCCCCGACCCGCGCCCCATAATAAATTACCCAACCTGGACCCGACCTGCCACGAGGCGGGTATGGGTATCGCGATACCCGCCCCGGACCTGCCCCATTGTCATTCCTACTCTTTACGGAGCTCTTGTGGCAGCCTCGTCGTCGGACCAACGACGGGAAGTAATTCTGGGGGTAGTACTTGGCACAGTTATTTGATATAGCTCCAGAGAATCGGATGAAATATCATCCTCCAGATCGCTTTAATGATGGTTTTCGGATCCCTCGGGAGGTTAAGAAAAAAGGGGAAGCGAGATGACGCGATTGCCTTATAGGCCAGTTCGCCGGATCGCAACCTAGGGCGGCATAGCTTCAAACCTGGGCTACTACAATCTGGGCGAGAGACGGGGTGGTTCGGGTTTCAAGTTTTGGGCCTCGATTGTTTGTGTTTCAATTTCCCTCCGCATCTACCAGCAACTGGGTGTTCAAGTTGGGTCCTTGGCATTACCAAGAGAATCAGCTTTTATCTTAGGAAGTGGGTGCCTGGTATTCAACCGGTGGTGCCTCAGGTGGAGTCTTTTCCTATCTGGATCAATATTTGGGGGATTCAGTTGGAATATCACTCTCTGGATGGATTGGAAGTGGAACGGGTAGTAAGTATTCTGGGTCCTCCGCTATGGATGGATAACACAACTAGAGTGGGTGGTCAGTTGGGATTCGCTAAGGTTTGTGTGGATCTCACAGCAGAGTGTGGCTTCCCTTCTAAGGTTTGTCTGTACCCTGATGATGATCCTTACTTCGATGTTGAGATTGAATATCTTAATCTGCCTAGGATTTGTCCGGTTTGGACTGTGTATGGTTATGACTGCACTTAGCTGGCCAAGAGTAATAAGAAGTGGGGTGTGAAGGAGAAACAAGGTGATGTTGTGGTCTCTCTTGGCTCTTCTAAATCAAGATAAGAAGAGGCTGTTGCTAATACAATGTTTGAGTCAGTAGTGCAAGTGGTTTTATTAGAGAATGTTGAGAGTAGTGCTACTGTCAATCTGGATACTAGCTCATCGGGAACTAATGATGATGTGGGTTAGGAGAAGTATCTTACTCCTCAATCAAATGGGAGTGCAACTATAAGTTTTGTAGATGTGGTTCTAGGATCATCAATTCAACCTGGGAGTCCTAGTCCATCTCTGTATAAGTTTACTGATGCTAGTTCACCAGTCATTGGGAGGCTATCTTCTCAGACTACTTCAGTTGTAAATGAGGAGGAACCTAATCCGCGGATCATAGTAGGAGGCTCAAAGAAAAAGCCACATACTTCTCCAGTTGTTGTTCTGCTAGTCCTCCCTCGGAAAAGGGGGAGGGTAGGGAAGAAACGATGAAAATCCTTACATGGAATGTCCGAGGATTCAATGACCCGGGTAAGAAAAAGATTGTTCAACAGCTAGTAAATAAATACAATATAGATATTATAGTTGTACTTGAACCTAGAGTTAGAGCAAACAAAGCTTATGATCTGATTAATAAAAGGTTTCCTAGGTGAGGGTTTGAAGTGGGAAATAATTCTGCTGGTTTGGGCAAGGTATGAATTATTTGGAAGGCTGATGTAAAGCTTAGGATATTGCATAAAACAGATATGTTTATTCATGTATTGGTTGGATCTAGGGTACCTTTCTTCCTCTCTATGGTCACTGCATTTAATGAGGAGGCTGATAGAAGGCAGTTATATGTAGATTTGTTGCATTTTCAAGAAAGTTCTATTCCTTGGGCTATTCTTGGTGATTTCAATGCTATTGGGGATCCGAGTGAAGCTTCTAATACTCCTCAGTTTTAGAGATGGCCAAAATATCCATAACCGTGGATATCCGCCCGAATCCAACCTAATCGGTTAGGGTAAAACCCGAACCCGATGGACTTTTAGTGGGTACGGGTAAAACCCACACCCAAATATTGTGGATAATGGGTGGGCATGGTTTTCTCACTATCCAACCCGAACTCGCCCGATTATGCACATACATGTGTATTTTGTCTAGAAATAATCATTTTTTCTCTAACATATTTTATATTTAGCATACAAATATAATATTTTCATGAATTGTGTTGTTTTAATTAATTTTCTTCATTCTAATGACGTATTGTTATACGTTTCTTCTTATGTAATGTGACTATATATGTGAATATTAACATATTGGTTGAAGTTCTAGAGAGAAATTATTATCCATGAATAATCGTGGATACCCGAAACCAGAACATGTATGAGCGCGATTTTTATTTTCTACCCATTTCTTATGTGAGTATGGGTATGGGTAAAACCCAAACTACTTCGGGTAGGATAACGGATATACACTATCCGTCCCCGACCCGACCCTTTGCCATCCCTACTCAGTTTTCAAGTAGTATGGTTGATTTCAAGAAATGGCAATATGATTGTGAGCTAGAAGAGTATAAATCCTTGGGGTCGTGGTTTACCTGCCTTAATAAGCAGCAGCGCAATCCCATTGTGAGGCGGTTGGATTGAGTGTTTGTTAATATAAAATGGTTGGAAGTGTTTCTTGTGAGATTTGTGGATCTTCTTGATCCCTCAGTCTCGGATTACTGTACTATTCTTCTGAACTCTAATTGCTCTATAAAGTCTCTTCCTAAGTTGTTTAAATTTTTCAAGTTTTGGATTCAACATCTGGACTTTATGAATATGGTTAGAGGCTTGGCAGTCGGATGTGGAGGGATATCCATTAGTTAGAGTATGCAAGAAACTTAAAATACGTAAAAAAGCTTCTTAAAAAGCTAAATAAGGATATTTATATACTATGATATTAGTGAGAGAGTCAAATTGAAAAATGATGAGTTGATTGTTGCTCAAGCTGAGGCTTTTAAAAATCCTTATCCTCTCACTTTTGATGTTGAGATTAGGACTGCTAGAGAGGCAAAGGAGTTACGTGATGCAAAAGAATCCTTTTTTAGACAAAAGTCTAGGGAAGTTTGGTTGGAGGAGGGGGATGCTAATATTTCATACTTTCATAAATCAGTTAAAACTAGGCAAACAAGAAACATGATTAGATCTCTTTTGGATGAGTCTGAACAGAGAGTTACTGATACAGATGGGATGTATAAGATTGCAGAGGGTTTTTATGAGAAGTTACTGGGAGAGCAGGACAAAGATGTTGTGGCTCCTTATGTTGATCAGTTCAGAGATATCTTGCTAAAACAGTTACTGCCTTCTCAAGGGGCAGAGTTGTGCCACCTTATTACTGTTGAGGAGGTCAAGGCTGCAATGTTCGGTTTTAACGGTGAAAAAGCACTTGGTCCTGATGGTTTTCCAGCCTGTTTATTCCAAGCAACTTGGAGTGTAGTGAGAAGTGAGCTAACCAATGCTATTCTACATTGCTTCCAAGTATCTAGTATCCCATTTAGTATTATCTCTACTCTTCTAGCCTTAGTCCCAAAGTTTTTAACCCTGAAGAAATGAAGTTTTTAGACCCATTTCCTATTGCAATGTCCTTTACAAATGCATGGAAAAATTCTAGCGTCTAGATGCCAAGTATTATTAGTGAATCTTAGACAACATTTGTTAAGGGTAGAGTCATAGGAGAGAATATCTTACTTGCCCATGAATTGGTTCAGAAG